TACTAACTCTATTCTTATATATTAATATTCTTTATGTTTTAAACTTTTTTAATATAGCTTTTTCTTTAAACAACTTAGCTATATTTAATGATTTAGTAATTACATATAGTTCTATAGTTACAACTTATGTAAATACCTTTAGATACAGAATTACTTTGCATAGAGACTGTTGGCACTTCTTCAAAAATAGTAATAAGATTAATTTTTATTTTTTACTTACATTATTAAAAAGTATTTTAAATTATATAAATACAATTGTAAGTGATTGACCAATCAAAAAAAAGTTGTTCTATATTGTACCATCTCTAACAAGGCTTTACTTATTTGTGCCAATAATACAAACTTCTAAAAAGAAAATAGCTAATTAGTAAATAAAAATTTTGATCATTTTAGATTAGCCTGACATAAATTCTGAATGCATGTAAAAGAAGAAAAAGTAAAAAAAAACTCAAAAACTAGTGTTTAAACTAGTCTTCATATATTAATTAAAAATATTAGAAACAAAATTTTATATATAATGAATAATAGTTTATTAACATAGCCTCTAATGTTAATGTTCTAACTCTAAATATATGTTTTATGTATTTTATTTATTTATAAAATTAAATTTCCTAGTGATAAAGAACTCTTTTTCAAAAATCACAAAAATATAAGAAAATAAACAAAAGAAAAAACTGAACAAATATAAATAAATAATAAATTACTAGAACAACAAAGAAAACAACAAAACTAGACTGCAGCACTATTAGAAGACAAGATAAAGTACAAAAAAAATACAACAGCAACTAAAAACAAAACAACTGAGCAACAGGTTCATGGGCCAATATACAAATTTACATTCAAGACAGCAAAGCAAATTTAAATAAAAAGCTATAATACTAGAAGTAAGACCAGTAGCAACAACAGAAAAACAAACTCAAAAGAAAACAAAACAGATATAGATAGTACAGCTTCAAAGATAAAAAAACTTTGTACTAACTCTATCTTACTATACAAAAGGCCAAAAAGTGACAAGATAAGATATTCTTAATAAAATCAAAAATGATAACATTACCAGATAACAATAACAAAATAAAATCAAATTAAACAAGTTTAAACAACAACATGCCAGATAAAAAAACTTTGTACCAACTCTACCTTACTATACAAAAGGCCAAAAAGTAGCAAAATAAGATATCCTTAATAAAATCAAAAATGATAACATTATCAGATAACAATAACAAAATAAAATCAAACCAAACAAGTTTAAACAACAACATGCTAGAAATAGAAATGAACAATAACAACTCATCCAAAACAGATAACAACAATTAACAGAAAGTGACAACATAACAAATCAGCAGTATAAACATAGTACCCAACCAGAACAGCATAGTGAACTTACAAGAACAGGTACAAAACTATAACAATAAATTACTATTAACTGAAAACCAAAACACAGCACTATCAACAAACAATGACAACATAGAAATAAAAGTCAACAGTAATATAACAGCAAAGCAACTAGTAGCACAAGTGACATATAGCCAAATAGTACAAAAAAACCTAACATAGTCTGACAACAAAAAAAGCACAAAACAGAACAACTATACAGAAGAGTAAATATAAGAAATTAATAGAAAACTAGAAAAAGAAATAAACCAAGTCTTTAACAAAGCTTAATAGAACTACACAATATAGTAACTGCACTTCAAAGTAAAGAAGAAATTCAAAAATTTGTTTAATATAAAATGTAAACTAAATCTACAAACTAGGCATTACATCTAGCAATCAAAGCTAAATTTAAACACAGAAATGCTATCTTCTTTCTTATCTTTATAAAAGAAAAAAAATCAACTCTACAGCACCAGGAAGCATATGAAAACCTTTTCCAAGAAGCTTTAAAGAAATACAAAACAAATAACAAGATAACTATAACTGATAAACAAACAAGAGATCTAATCTACAAAAGCTATGACAAAAAATTATGATTGATTATTTAACTAATACAAAGTTTTATAAAATATCAACAAAGCAAATCTACTATTTTATCAAATACTATAAAGGATTTACCAAAGACAAAACAATTAGAAACAATAAAAAAAATATGAAATAGTACAAAAAGCAACTACATTACACCTCAAACAACTACCAGCTGAACCTAACCAAATTTCAGAAAATATAATTCAAATACTTTTCTTCAACCTGCCAATAAAACAAAGAGTTTACACCAAAGCAGTTACTGCAGCATTACATAGAATATACCAGTTCAATAAACTATCAGAAGCCTATTTTACATTACTAGAAATACTGCCAAATAGAATCACAAATCTAAACCTTAAAATAAAACATCTGTTTCTGATTACAAAGAAAAGTCAGCTTAGAGAACTTGCAGATATAACTAGACAACTAAGAAATAACTACTCTTTTAATAGAATTTCAAATAATTTTTTCAATCTATCACTATCAAAAAAACCATTGACCTCTAGAGTTGATAGCATAGTAGTTATGCTCTGAAATTGCAAATTGCAAGATTGCTAGTTCAAATTCTAGTAATAGCAATTATAAAGATGTATTTTCAAAATAAAGAACTGCAACACTACAGAACCAGGAACCTGAAATGTTCAATAGACAGACTTATTTCTGAAAATGGCAAATGATCTGTAGTTAAGAAGCCACATAGTAATAAACACAAGTTGGAGTCTGATTTAAAATAACCAAAGTCATAAGATGTAATATAAGGCTAAAAGTCTAACAATGAGAGATATGTATTATATGAACTCATAGTGACAGCTAGTTTTAACTAAAGCCTGGTGAAGTCTTCTGATACTGGCAGAGATTGGTGCAATAGTCACTTCTAAGAAGTTTAAAAGTACAGACCAAAGAAGGTTGAAATTCAGTTCTAGGTGTATATTAAAAACATTAGTTTGAAAAATGTGAGGATATACTGAAAAATCTTGGCAAGACTAGTCAAAGAAAAAAAAAAAAAAAAAACTATTGCCTGTAGCCTACCAAGATCTGAAGTCTACACACAAATTGCATTTTCCAATAAACCCACAAGACCCAAATACAAACTTTATAGAAACAATCTGAATGCTTAGAAAAGCTTATTTTTTTAAAAGACTACCTAACAATTACTTTCTGGCAAAGCCTAGATTACCAAAAGAATCTAGCAAAATTCAAACAATTGATGAGTTTACATATCCTATTATAGACAAAACACAAGCAAAAAAGTTTATTCAACAAATTAGACTATGGTACAAGTTTTCACTTTATTACCTTCCCATATTATAACAGCAAACCCAACAACAAACCAAACCTATTAGAGAACCTACAAGAAATAACACAATACAATCTAATACTTCTAATAACAACACCTAAAGAGCTAGTAACAACAGTAAGATTACTGTAAGAAACCTACTATATTTATAGAATTACAACAACATAAATTCAAATAAATCAACAAACAAACTAAACACAATCTAAATCAAAAACTATAAATATATAAAACAAACTTAATATTTCTCAAATCTTAATAAAATTACAGATTTCATATATATTAACATACTAATAAACTAACAAGAAGATGTTACAAACACCTTAACAATTCTTTGAGAGCACTTTTATATAGAAACAATATCCGACTACTTACTACAACTACCACTACTTCCAAAACCAAACTAAGATATTTTTACATAAATCTAATGCTATTACAACCAAATACAACAAACAAGAATAATTTAAGCAAGACATCAGCTGAATATTAAAAAAATTACAATATACTAGAAATATAAAAATTCTAATATATAATATTCAAGACACAAATAACAAACTAAAAATGCAAATATAACTGAAATTCTGTTATAAAAACAACTATAACATAGTTAGCATGACTGAAATAAAACTTGCAGAATCAACTTACTAAAAATTCAAACTATCAAACTTCTACTATGATATATATATATCAAACAGTACTAGTGAAGTAGCAAAAAAACAAGAATTAAGCATAGGTACCCTAATAGCAGTATTCAAGTTTCTCCAATTATATATATATAATATTAAGACAATATCAGGCACAGCAATAGCAATTAACTTTTTCTTTTCACAAAACCAAAAAATAAGAGTAATATCTGTTTACTTATCCTCTAACAATAAAAAACTAAATCAAAACATACAAAAAGAAATCGCTACATGGATTATCTATAGCCATACTCACAACTACAGTATCATAGTTCTTGAAAACTTCAACTATGATAGACAAAAACACAAAACTCAGCCTACAATACAACTGTTTACAGCAATGCAAACCTATAATTTGAACAGTTTTTTAAAACATTTCAATATAAATTTGCCTACCTAGGCAAGAGGATTACTACAAAGCCAAATAAATAACATATGGATATCCAGCATATTGCTACCCAATATATCAATCTGAATTAATTAGTATAGAGCTTATAACAAATAGTAATTATAAAATAATCTTAATAACATAACAATCTAATATAAATATCAAGAAATACAGACTTAAGACAAAGAAAAGATCAATATTTTAATATAACTAAATGAAGCCTGATGACTAGATAGAATTCAAAAATGACATCAACAAGTATCTAAAATAACAAGAAAATAAACTTTCTTAAATGATTAGTACAGAAGAAGAACTAAACAAAAGCTGGCATATACTAAACAAAGCAATCAAACAGGCAGTTAACAACAATATACTTAAAACTAAAATAAGCTCTAAAACACATTATACCTTTTCCAAAAAAGCTACAAAACTTTATGCTGCTCTACAAAATATCAACCAAATTATTAAACACTTTAAAAAAGACAATCTAAACTTAGATCCAACAACAATCCAGAAGATCAATCACAAAATTAACAAGATAAACAACTATACAAAAATGCAAATACCCAAGTTTAACCAGATACACAATACAAGCACAATGCTAGAAAATATTTTGTAGCTATTAAAACACTAACAAAAAGCAATTTATCAAGCTAAAAAAATAGAAAACAACATGGCCCACAAGCAAAAAATTAAAAATAACATAATTAAACAACATAACAACTTTGCAACCAATACAACAAAGATAATAAACAGTATATTACAAAAACAAACAAACTCAGTAGTATTTAACAACATTATACATTCAAAAAAAGTTACAACTGAATTACAAGAAATTAAAAAAGAAATTAAAAAACATTTTGAAGAATGGACGAAAAGCAATTCTATAAACAACAATACTGAAAAGAATAGTAAGAACAATACATTATACAAAAAAGAATAAATAAGTTATAATATAATATAATATCAAACTCTATAACTATATACAAACTCCAAACTAATATAGAAGAATTACCAAACAAAAAGGCCACTAAGTCACAACAAATATCTAATAAAATGTTAAAGCACTTAGATAGCTATACTCCAAATTTATTACTAAAAATCTTTAATGCATGTCTTATACTCAATACAATTTTCAAAATGTAAAAGCAAAACAATATCTATCTAATATCAAAAAAGCAAAAATTCTCTAAAAAACTCAATAAAACATGCCCAATTACTTTAATTGAATATACACAAAAAATCTTACTAAAACTATACCAAAAAGATTAAACATAATATTTAACAAGTATTCAATTCTACATCCTAGCAACCATGTTGCAATTCCTAACATATCAACACAAATACCAATTGCTACATTAGCATATATCTTAGAAGATGCACAAATTCAGAATAAAAAACTATAGTTACTCAGCCAAGACATGTCTAAGGCATATAACACAATCCACATTCTATTACTTAAAAAAGTTTTAGAAAGAATAAATATTCCAAAAACTACAACAAACCTAATTACAAACATTTTTACTAATAGGTTAAATTATGTAATAACAAATTTCAGGCTAACAGAATCATATAAAGTTAGAGATAGAATAGACCAAGGCAAAACAATAACACTACTTCTGTGGCATATTTATTATGATCTACTGCTTACAACTATATACAATAATACAAAAGTCTACTCATATACTCTTTCCTGTTTATCACAGATCAGAAAAGGCAAATAGAAAATTGTAATTATAAAATCATCAAATAAAAACCTAAACTCTAAAAATAAGATACTATCAAGAGCTAAAGTCCTTAACTTAAGAAAAAGAAAGCTTTCTCAACTAGTGAAACCTTTAGTGACTGAAAAAATTATTAAAATAAGAAAACTCAACAAAAAAAAAGAAGAAAAAGAAACTAACAACTTATTTACAAAAAAAAAAAAAAAGTAAAACTTGATAATATAACTACAGCTCAAGAAAAGATATTAGCAATAGAAGAAGATTTAGTTCTAGTAGTAGTGATCCAAAACAAAAAAAAACTGACTAAAAAATATTGACCAAAATGAAAACAACCCTTAGGCTTTAGAAAACATGTACAATACTATAAAAGAAATAAACAATAAAAAAGAAAACAATAATGAGAACAGTTATGTGTTAAATATAAACATAACAACAACAACATCTTAGATAATTAACTAGCATGCAAGGTTACACAAAGCTATGCATCAATCACTAAACAAGACATAAGCTTGTTTGCTAAACTAAAACTGAAATTGCAGGGCTTTGCAACTCTCTTAATGAAATCATGGTTTTTTTTATATAAGGACATAGAAGAAGACATAGTTGCAGCCAAGCAACACTTTAAGAAAGACTTAAAGATCCATCTTGAAATCATATTTTCAAACCAGGATCACTTAATGCATTATGCAACTAATGGAGTTAAAATTTTTAGAAAAACATACTATGAATATATTTCTACAAATGTATACAAATTCTTTTTGCCAGTTAAGATTAAAAATGTGCCTCTAGATATGAAAGAACATATTTTTAACCAAATCAAAGAGACCTTTTAAGACTTTAAAAAGATCACATTTATTAAACTACTGCTTATTGAAGATACATCATATTTGACAGACTAATAAATAGTTATCTTTGATAATACAAATAATCTAGAACTTGAAAAAAGGATCTTTCATTATACCTATATAGAGGACAACAGAATAACTATAAAATAGAAAGAAGCCTCTAAAGTATATTACTTCTGTAATCAAACTGGCCATATTAAGAAAAACTGTATACAGTTTTAAGAAGCAAGAGATCTAAGAAAACACTACCAAAAATATAAAAACAAAAAGTCTTAAATGAAAATTCCTAGTGAGAACTTATTTGAACATACTAGAAGCTTCAATAAGAAAACTTTTGCAATACAAGAAACAGTACAAAATATTGACATAGAACCAGAATACTTTCAAGAACAAACAACTTTCTTAGAAAAAGAAATGCAAAAAAATAATATGGTTATTAATACAGAAACTCTACCTTTGAAAAAAAGAAATATAGATAACTTTACAGAAAACATGATTCTAGAAGAAACAATTGCAGACCTTTGAAATCTTTAAACTAAATATTAAGAAAATACAGAAAACACACCTTTCACCTTAGTTATATATAAAAAAAGAAGATACAAAGAATCAAAGCCCTATAAGACTTCTAACAAAGAAAACCAATAAAAGAAACTAGGACAAAAAGCATGAAATAGCTCTAAAACTTACTAGTTTTATTATAAACAATACATCAATCAAGATAGCAACTCAAAATATTAAAGTGTTAAATAATATAAACAAATGACTTAGAACTTTGATACTTTTAAAATATTATAGACTAGATATTATTTTTTTACAGAAAATGAATACATTCAATAATGCAACTCAACAATTCTTAAAAAATCAATAGTCTTTAAATTTAGTCTGGACAGGCAGAATAGCAATTCTAGTAGAAAACAAAGAAATAAAATTCAAAAAAAACAAGATATCACAAGAAGACAAAATAATCTCTGTTTGTTTTATCTTTAAAAAGTTTTTTTTCAATATAATTAATGTTTATGCTTTACTAAACATCTTGAATAGAACACTTTTTTTAACAACTGACAATCAAAAAGAAAAATAACATGATTAACATTCTGGCAAGAGATCTAAACACAAATCTAAACCTAGAAGTTAACAAAATGAGCCAAGCAAGTGCTTAAAATAATCCTTCAAGATTACTTCTCAAGAGTATTGTAAAGAATTTTATAGATTCTACATCCTTTACATCTTAAAAATATCTTTTATACTTTTTATCAAAAAACATATAACAATCAAATAATAGCTAGAGTGTGGGTCCCATAGCTTAATTGTTAAGCTTCCATACCTCTACAGTTAAGGTTAATGGTTCAAGTCCAGCTGGAGGCAAAATCAAAAAGATTTTAGTTTCTGTAACCTATAAGAAGCCAGTAATTAAACACGAAGCCCTGTAGTTAAGTCCAAGTGCAGTATATGACAGAAAAAGGAATTTCTGAAAGGAGACCGACTTTGCAGAAAGCAGGCACTATGGGTGACAGTGGCATCACAGAAGGTTCTATTACATGAAGTATTGCACATATAAGTCCTCCAGAGACAGGGCAGTACCAACATCTTCACATCCAACTTGAAAAGTACTTGATTGGAAGGGTGATACCAAGGTAACACATACTGAAATAGTGAGAGAAGCAGTGCATGCATAGAAGGTCTGTGATAAAGGATTAGCCTTATCAAGATTGGAAGCACCTCTGGCATTGTGGAATGACTGAAAATAGAAGGTAGCTGTACGTATAGAGAAGTTGTAGCCTGTTCTATATGTCTAAAGGTACCAAACTGGAGCTCTGGTTACACCTATATGGAAGCCTATGCCAAAACAAGTAGAACACACTAACATAAATGCTGTACCAATCAAAGTTGAGATACCTAAATTGGAAGTGACCTTTGCAAACAAGCATGGGGCATCTGTAGGAATGCAGATTTATACAGGTATCTGTATAGATTAGTGTACACAGAGGGATGCAAACTGGCTTTGGGCAGTGCAAACACAAGATAAGTTCTCATATGTTTAAGTAGAAAGAAAACAATGACCAATGGCTAGAAGAAAATGTGGTACTATTTCCAAAACATAGTTCCACTATACCATAAAGAGGAGTATTTAAGAGGCAGATTAAATGCACAATTTATTTGAATAATGCTAAGACCAAGAAGAGTTGCAAACCAGCAGCAGCAGCAGGAACCTGGCTTGAGATATGTGCTACCAGTACCTGAATTAGGAAAATGGCAGCAGCAGCAGGAACCTGGCTTGAGATACATGCTAGAGAGGCACCCTTTAGGCAAACCAAAGATAGGAGCTCAAAAGGAGCAAATGACCCAGTGGACCAATTTGGGAGTTGTGAAAAATAGGTTGTAAGACATGGGGAGAATATGCTGGTTACTTAATATAATCGGTAGTAAAACAAAAATCCAGGTTAGGTGTAAGTGGGATACAATACAAAGCACTGATAGGTTTAGGTCACAGATAAAGACATCTGAGTCCTATGTCTGAATAGATATATAGTGATAGATAATGTATAATAAAAATTGTACTAGCTATAACCGATATACTAATAAAGACTTGAGGGCATGACCTCATCTTAAAAAAAAAAAAAAAAAAAAAAAAAAAAATCAAATAATAGCTACTTGATTTAACTATATTTTTATAGATGAGAACTATAGCTATCTAAATTTAGAAACAAAAACAAGATTTGGAAATTTAGATAATCTTTTAGTTGGATGTGTTCTAAGTTTAAAATAAGAACCTAGACACTCAGCTCTCTTGAGATTTGATGTAAACTTTTTTAAAAAGAATATTTTAAAAAAAGAGGTCTTGAACAAAATTCAAAAAGCTACCTCTGCAGCAAACTGAAATATGTATAAAGTTTATATAAAATCTATTATAAAAGCTTTTAAAAAGTCTAAGCCACCAAAAGATAAAATAGAAAGACTAAACAAAAAAGTTAGTTAAACAAAAGAAGCTATAGCCAAAAACCCTGATCAGACTTATCTTTTTACTATATTAAATATACTTGATTCACAACTCCAGTTTGAATTAACAGAGCTGGCAAATAGATGGCAACAATGTTCAAAAGCAAACTGAATAGAATTAGGAGAAAAATCTACCAAATACTTTTGTGCTTGCTTTAAAGCTAGAAAGTTACATGCAGCTTTGGCAGAAATACAGATATTCTTTACTTAAGAACAACATAATAAAAAAGAAGTACTTAACTACATTAAAGAACAATATACAAAAATATATAATAAAAAGAAAATTGACAACACAATAACAAAACAAATTACCAAAAATCTTCTACAGACCTTTGATCAAATGAACAGCAAACTAGTAAAATGTATCTCTCAAGAAGAAATCTCAGAAATAATTAAAAAACTACTTAACAACAAGTCTTCAAAGTTAGATGACCTCACTTACGAGTTCTATAAACTGACTGAAGAACATATTACATCTGTTTTAGAACAAGTCTTTAATCAGGTTTTAGCCTTGGAAATATTGTCATCTTCATAATATAAAAACTTATTTATATTAATATCAAAGAAATCTAAAGAACTTTACAATATAAACAATTAGAGACCTATATCACTAGTTAACTGTGATGCAAAAATTTTCATAAAAATTGTTACTAACAGATTAAACCTAATATGCAGTAAAATAGTACCTTTATATCAGCAAGGATTTATCACAAACAGACTAATTACAGACTTAGCTTTAAATATACTCACAATTCTGAGAAACAAAGATAATAAATTTAAAGAACACTAGATGCTTTTTGTTAATCAATAAAAAGCAGTTGACAAAATAAGCCATAAATTTTTACAAATTGTTCTCAAAAATATAAACTTTACTGAAAAATTTAGAAACCTGATAAAAACCTATTCAATTGACAAGAAGTTCATATTTTGGACTCTGGACACATCTTAAACTTCTTTAGAGTATAAAGAGGGGTCAAACAAGGCAACCCTCTCTCATCTCTACTATATGTACTTGCATTTAAACCTTTGCTAAACATGTTAGGCAACAAATCAATAAGAATCAAAATTGGTGATCAATCTTTCAAATACACAGTATATACAGATAACCTTACAATTAGAATTAGCTTATACTCTGACTGAATAACAATCTTAGACTTGTTCAGTGAATATGAAAAAGCTTCTAATGTAAGAATTAACAAACTTAAAACAAACCTAATGCCTCTTACAAATACAGCTAGAAGTATAGAACTTCCAGAAGAAACCTGCTTTAAAAAACTTAAAGAACAAGATAATATTACAGTTTTAGGTTATAACGTTACAGCCAATAGTATATCAAAAAAAAGCCTATAGCAAAAAGCCATAAACAAACTTAAACTAAACTTAGAAAGGCTCACATACAGGAATCTGTTACTCAAAGAAAAAATTATGCTTGCAAATTCTTTACTTCTATTAAAGATATGATAAGTTGCATATCTAACATTACCAAATAGGAAACAAGTTGCAGAAATTAACAGACTTATTACATTTTGGGTCAAAGGCAACTCTAAAATGCTACCAAGATAATCTACATTTTAACAATCTTATGAATAAGGTGGTTTACAAGCTCCAATAGTTGGCAACTAACTAGAGGCTAAACTACTATCATCTTGAACCAAACTAATTTCAAGTAATCTCCTATAGGCAAAAGTATAAAGAAACAGAATATTTCTTCTGCTTATTCAAAAAAGAGATATTTTAGTACAAGAGACACTCTCTATACAGCCTATTAGATTAAAAGCTTGGCCTATAAAATGGAAACTCTATCTTCTGGCCTGAAAAAAAATAAAAAGAAAAATACTATCAGAATCTGAATGGCTATAAAGTTTAACAGAATTGGAAATAGACAGAAAAAAAGCTACTAAAACATCAGTTAAATCTACAGTAGAACTTTTAAAAAAACTCAGCTTTAAATTAGTAAATCAAATAAAACCTATAGCACATTTACAAGACCAGAACTGGATTCTCCAAAAAGCAATACTAAACAAAAAGAAAGACATACTTTGGCGATTATTTCAAAAAGCTCTATTATTATGATACAAACTTTGACACTTTGTATTAACAGATTCAAAAGAATGCCTATAATGTCTTAAACAGATACAAATGATTGAGCACTTTGCTGCAGAATGCAGAATCAGCAAACTGATTTAAACAGAAGCATACAGATTCTTAAAAACAAATCAAACAGAACCAATATCTGACATAATAGAAAAAATTTTCTTTAAAAATGTTACCAAAAAAACAAAGATATATAGAACTATTCTATGGCTATACACACATACTATTGTTACAGGGTTGCAGCCTTCTTGGTACAATACAACCAAGTAACAAAGTCACCCAGTACAGTGATTGACTA